GGATGACTGCAATCAGATTCCCCCCTCCTTCCTGACAGGGACAGCTGAGGGGGATGACTGCAATCAGATTCCCCCCTCCTTCCTGACAGTTGCTTCTACTTTGAGATCAACGACCCCTTGGGGCATCAAGTGGCTCAAAGAAAGGTGGGGCCACCCTGTGCATGATCTGCTGCTGAGACCGCGACACAGAGCGGCCATCTCCTACCTTATAAAAGAAGTACTGCACGAGCTCAGATATCCTGATGTAATAAAAATGCCCGTGAACAAGCAGCATCTTCTTTAAATGCTTAAACTTCGGAATTGCATAGTCGCTGTTCCTGGCCGCCTGGCGGCCTTCCTTGCCGATGACACCTAGAAGGTGGAGGGGAAGGAGCTGAGGACACCCTTTGGGCACACCACACCCGGGCAGCGACAGGAAAAGACCTGACGAAGCCACCGTCACGAGCCTTGCTGGTCACACACGAGGGTGGTGACGGGGGTGTCCTGAACGCACCACCTGCGTGCTGCCGTGGGCCTCTGTCTAGCGGAGGGGAGACCTGGCCACCAGGACGTGCCGGCAGCCAGGGCGAGGCTCACCTATGCCCACGTGTGCTTCCAGGATCATGCTGACATCATTCGCACCATCACCAATTGCTAAGGTGATTGGGTGCTCTTTTGAAAATTTGATTAATTTGACAATCTGCAGAAGAGAGAAATGCAGAATTGATTGCCTGTTTCACTTCTGAGCAGGTTATTCATTCACTAGGCAGAAATAACAAAGATGTAAAGTTAGTCTGGCCAAGTAAAAAACCATCTATCTGCTTGGAGCTAACTTACTGCATTCTGTTTTCTCTATATAGGATAAAACCTGCTTCATATTGAAAGCAGAACAAAACGAGGTATGATTAAAATGGCGTGGGCTGGAAAAGGCTGGCAGGCAAACCCTGGTGGTGGAGACGTGAGACACATGAAGTAGTTCTTCGTTACTGTTATATTCATCGATTTAAATAAATGGAAAATGTATAAATACTGGGAAAATACATTTAAATATACCGGGGCAAATGCGAACCTTGCATTCTGTTAGAAGACATTACTATTCCAAGCTACTTCAAGCTATTTGGTATAAAGTATCTCTTTCTAAAAATAAATTACTCCTAATGATGCTCTTTTAATTTTCAAATTTATAACATGTACAAAATCAAATATGACAAAATTTTATGTAAAAATAATTTCCAAGTTTTTGGTCAATTGCTTTATAGTCTTTTTTCTTTCATGTATGTGCAAGATGTAAGAATGAAGAGATGGGGGAAATATGTGGGGTGCCTTCTTGTTTCAAGATGGGAAACTGAGACACAACTTAATTTGTATGAAACTTTTCAAAAGCCAGTGGAGGACTTAAGAAAGTACTATGAAATAAATACATGAAGAGCCAATGGAAAGCCCTTAGCTGCTGTTCCGTTCAGGAAGTAACCCTATAAGGTTTACGTGCTGTTACAGATGTGAGGGAGAGGGGACATCAGACCGTCTTCCCCACAGGGAAGGTCTGTGAATGCTCTGGGCTCAGCTCGTCATTCTGAGAAGGACCCTGTTGTGTATATTTAGTGAAAGTGACAGATTAGTGCACCCACATGCACAAATGCTCAACTTTTTACCTCTGGTTTCCAGAATTTGTTCGAGACGTATTTTACCTTACCCAATGGGTTGCTCTGACCAATAATGAATTTATTCATGAACGGTTCAAGAGAAATTGGCCTAATTTACCTAAAATGTGGTATAACAAAGTTGGAACTTTTCTAGGCTTCCTGATATTAGAAAGACATCCATATTTACATGTATATTCCACAGTGCTTCTAAAAGTATTTAAAGAAAAAATTTCAGGGTGTGTGTTTCCCAAAGAACATAGCAGAGTGAGACGTCTGGAGTTTGATGGACAAGACAAGTTGAATCCTCATGGCATTTCCCAACTGCAGCCTTTTGGGCAAATTATCCCAGTTTGTAAAGCTGGATGCCCTCACTCGTCTGTCAGGGTGATGCTGAGGCTAAATGCATTCGTGTCTGTGAGAGCTCACGCCAGGTGCTCAATAATGTCAGCTGTCTTCCCCTACACCTGTAGTGTGCATTCTCAGGACTGACTGAGATGGGCTTTTTTAAAAAAAAAAAAAAAACAACAAAAACAGGAGTCAGCCAGGGCAGCTGTCCTGGCCGCTGCATCTGGAATGGTCACATGTCTGGTCAACACTCACTAATCACCGAGGCCGGCCCAACAAGCAAAATAAGGTTCGAGTTTTAAATTTCTATCATGATTGCTTCTATTTTAACAGGTGGTACCCTGTTAGAATTTTCAACAATCCAAGGTGGTGAGACCTAATGGGAGGTTCTCAGTGTTTCGGACGCCCTGACCAGCAGCTGTTGAGGATGGGCGGGCAGGACCTGGGCCTTCTGCAAGGGCGCCATGCGGCAGCAGAGCACCGCACTGCAGCTGCGGCAGATTTCCAGGAAGAGCTCCCTGTAGTTGCCGGAACTCCCGTCTTCTCGAGGCTTCATGATCAGAGACAGTGCAGCTCCGTCGATGATTAAACCGTAGTCCTGCATATCTGCTGAAAGTCTGTTAGAGTACTCGAGTCAGAAAGATTGCTCAGTAATGAAATCTAGAGATTTTAGAAGTCTCTGTATTTTTTTTGGATATCTACAGATGCTACAAATCCATGGCATTAAGCACCTTAGACTACATTGAGTGTTTTTTAAGGAAACACTCTTATTTTAGGTAAAGCAAGTGTATACTCTCTTTGTGGACTTGCCAAGTCCCCGTACTTCTGAAACAACAGAAAGGCATCTATCTTGCAGTCTAAGGTCTTGGTCAGTCTTTACTGGAAAGCGTCTTGGTCACAGTCTGCACAGCTAAGTCCTCGGGTTTCTGCCTGGATGACCTAAGTCGGAAAGAACTTGGTCATAAGCTCCTCTCTGCTGGCTTTCAAAATGACAAGGAGGCCGGATGCAGTGGCTCACACCTGTAATCCCAGCACTGTGGGAGACTGAGGCACTGGGGGGACTGAGGCAGGCAGATCACCTGAAGTTGGGAGTTCCAGACCAGCCTGGCCAACATGATGAAACCCCTGTCTCTATTAAAAATACAAAAATTAGCCAGGTGTGGTGGTGAGCGCTTGTAAAATCCCAGCTACTTGGGCATCTGAGGCACGAGAATTGTTTGAACCTGGGAGGCGGAGGTTGCAGTGAGCCAAGATCGAGCCACTGCACTGCAGCCTGCGCAAGAGACTGAGACGCCATCTCAGAAAAAAAAAACCAAAAAACAAAAAAATGAACATCTCTAATCCTAAAAGGAGCTCTGCAGATTGCAGATCAGGAGAGAGAAATGTCTATGCTATTTATGAATAACTTGGAGCTTGTGTAAGCTAGGGAGCTGCTTCTGCTTTATCTACATGAATGAAACTGAAATGATTTAAATAAAATCTAATCTCAGATAATGCGTCTAACACCAGCAAGGACGGCATCGAAACAACCTATCTGAGTAAAGTCTTGGACATGTGCTGGTATGAATATCCCCACTTCCTCCAGCTGATGCTTGAAGGTGTCTGCAGCAGAGGCCCTAAGTCTCAGAACAAGGAGAATGATCCCACTCAAAATATTCTATCAATCATGTCTTTTTGCCTCTGTTACCCAGCAGCTGGAAACTGAAACCACACAGATGTGTGTAAAAAGACACATCGCCATTGCTGGAAAAAACATCTCAGTGTTCACCTGACCCCTAAGAAGCTGGCGTTCATGCCCCAGGGGAGAACTGAATTCCCAGGAAGGACAATGTGGTTCACCGACCTGCAGGTGAAGGCCATTGGGTCTGAAGCCCCTCTGTGGGAGTGTGGGGTGGGACGGGGACGGGGTCTGAAGCCCTCTGCGGGAGTATGGGGTGGGACGGGGACGGGGTCTGAAGCCCCTCTGTGGGAGTGTGGGGTGTGACGGGGATGGGGTCTGAAGCCCTTTGTGGGAGTGTGGGGTGGGACGGGGACGGGGTCTGAAGCCCCTCTGCGGGAGTGTGGGGTGTGACGGGGATGGGGTCTGAAGCCCTTTGTGGGAGTGTGGGGTGGGACGGGGACGGGGTCTGAAGCCCCTCTGCGGGAGTGTGGGGTGGGACGGGGACGGGGTCTGAAGCCCTCTGCGGGAGTGTGGGGTGGGACGGGGACGGGGTCTGAAGCCCCTCTGTGGGAGTGTGGGGTGTGATGGGGATGGGGTCTGAAGCCCTTTGTGGGAGTGTGGGGTGGGACGGGGACGGGGTCTGAAGCCCCTCTGTGGGAGTGCGGGGTGTGACGGGGACGTGCTGCCTACCCGGAGAAGGTGTCCCTGGTCAGGCTCCCGCTGTGGCGAAGGACCGTCTTGCTCAGCTCGAACAGGACGTCGTGCAGGCTCTGCTCCTCGATCCTCTTGGTGGTGAGCTCCAGCAGCTGCGTGTTCCTGCGGAAGAGCTTGCAAGCGTAGCACGTGGCCGCGGCCGTCTCCATCTTGTCTCCCGTGAGAACCCAGACCTTGATCCCGGCTTTCTGCAGGGCCTCGATGGTGTCTGCAGCTTTCTCCTGCAGCCTGAGGGAAGCAAAACCAAATGAAACACGGAGAAAACTCACTGCTGACCCAGGAAATCCCAATAAGGAGCTGCAGAAATTTGCAAAGCTGTCAAAACATGGCAGCCCCTCAACATCCAAACATACCATGCCGTGGCTCATGGTCTTACCTTAAAGACAGACCATGAGGCGGCCTTTGAAGGCCTGAATTAGCATTTCACAGGGAAACACTTCATAACATCAGAGAGATAAATACAGATAAAGCATCTGAGAAGTAAAGGGCTGTCCTGTGTCACTGGCGTCTGACAAGCCTGGCAGGTTTTTCGCTACCTGGGGGAGGGTTTCAGGAAACTGTCGGCAAGACTGTTACAGTGAACCCCAAGTTTCTCTTCAAAGAATCAGTATGTCAGTATGTTCAGCTCTCTTATTCTTTAATTCTCTATTTTAAAGTTTAAGTTTTTGTTCTTATCAGTAGTTCACATCTGTTCCCTCTCCCCCCAGCTCCATCCTGACTCATCCTAGTCACCTGCTCTGGTCACCTTCTTTGACCTAGGTCACCCCTGGCTACCTGCTCTGACCCGCCTGTAACCGTCCTTCCCATCAAAACACCCACCCTGCCCCTCCAGCTCGGACCCCTGCTCTTTTTAAAACAGCCAATCAGGGTGAGCCTAGCTTGTGCAGTCTAACCCTAGCCAATAGGGGGCGACACAGCAGCAGGGACGACCCCCTACCCTGTCAGGCATAAGTACCCCTCCCCCTTGTCCAAGCGTGCGGCGGCCATCATTGCTCCATCCGTGCACCGCACCCTTCTGAGAAGTAAACCTCCTTGCTGGGAGGATTTATCTTTGCGTGCTGTTTCTTTCGTGGCATCAAAATTTTACTGCTAACAAAGACTATCATAACCACCAACACAAATGTCTCCACCATGGAAAGATGGGACCTGGAATCATGGTGGTGAGGGACATTCATTATCTCGTTTTGTATAAACTGTTCAAAGTTTTCACTTAGAACCCACTTGGGGTCTAGGTACCTCTACATGATATAAAAATACTGATAATACCACCAGTGATTTTATGGCTAGCTAACACGCATCATGAGCTTACTCTGCCAGGCCTGTGTGACACTTCCTGTGTGCGGTCTTTCATCCTTCCCACGAGGTCAGCAGTAAGGACATTAGCGTCACATCCATTTTACACATGGAAAACCCAAAGCTTGCAGACACTACAGCAGGTATCTGAGGGTAAGCAGTCAGGTCACGTCCCTCTCCTTGGAAGACCTGGTGTCAAAACCATGCTTGCCTCATTTGGGGGCCTGCATTTTCTCTAGGTTTTGGACTCTACTTTCGTGTGAGGTAACTTGCCCTATTTCTATAATGTATGAAAAGAAAGGCTTTAAATTCTAACTGGAATGATCTGGTTAGGCTCTGGGAAGAACTCCTAGCCACAAGTCTCAAGATCAGACAATCATGGTATTCCAGAGATGGAAAAAAAATGCCTCTAATTTTATGTATGTGTACGTGTGTGTGTGTGTGTGTGTATACATATGTATGTGTGTGTGTACATATGTAAGATACATATATGGAGAAAGAGAGAGGGAGCATGCATGCCTTGTTATGTTGACCAGGCTGGAGTACAGTGGTACGATCTCAGCTCACTGCAGCCTCCAACTCCCAGGCTCAAGCAATCCTCCCTCCTCAGCCTCCCAAGTAGCTGGGACAAGAGGCGCCTCCTACCACACCTGAACAATTTAAAACAATGTGAGAGGTGGGATCTCACTATGTCGCCCAGGCTGGACTCACAATCCTGATCTTAGTTAATCCTCCTGCATCAGCCTCCCAGAGGGCTGGGGTTACAGGTGTGCTCCACCAGGCCTGGCCCTAGAATTCGATTCGAAAGGAAGCTGAGGCTCAGAGGTCTCCCACTTGTTGACTGGAGATTTTAATTTGTAAGCAAGCATCATCACTTCAAAGCCACCGGGCCCCGCTCCCCCACCAGGCATTAACTCTCCACTTTTCTACACTCCCATCCAGTCAAGTCAGCCTGTCCCCGCCCCAGGGTCTCCATCCCACCTGCTCTGCCCAAGGCACCCCAGGCTCCTCCACCACAGCCTGTAAAGATTGACCGAGCTGCTCCCCTGGCAAAGACTGTCCTATGGACACCCCTCTTCTCCTGGACAGACTGCAGGTGAGTGGCTGACCACAAGAGCAAGGCCCCCGCTCTCGGCGGCCACGGCCCTGCGCTCTGGAGCCTGTCCATGTGCAACGCGTGTTCTTTACACGGTGCTCCATGCGCTTACTCTAACAAAACAAAACACAAAACCACCAAATCAAAACCTCCTGCTCTGCCTAACACTCCATTCAGATCAAGAACTCTGGGAATGTTTGTTAAACACACTCAGAAAATGCAGGTTAGTGATGAGGATTTAAGTTTTGGACCAAAATGGATCTTAAAGACTTTTAAACTTTATGCTTTTAACCTCTTCTAGAACATAAACTCCCTGCAAACTTCCTGAAGCTTCTGCTTCATTCTCATAAACGGGGGCCTTTTTTTCTCTCTTCTCCATTCCTACAAATCACTGAAATCTCTGCCTTTCACTCAGCTGTGAACACACCATGTGGCCCAGAAGACCGCTTCTTGTTGGCCTCGACCTCACACGACGTTCACCCCAACTGTGGAGCTGCTTGAACATCTGTAATTGGTATTTTACCAGTTATGGTGATGATTAGGTTTTGTGATTTTCTACTTCATTATTTTAAGTTTTTTCAGGTAATGATAAATATAATGAGTAGGTAATGATCTAAGAAGTAATATCAGCATTTTGAAAAAACTAGCAACAAAGTTTAGGAACAGAGTCAGCGACTGATTCCATCCTAAAGAGGAGTTACAGCCAGGCACGATGCTCATGCCTGCAATTCCAGCACTTTCAGAGGCTGAGGTGGGAGCATTGCTTGAGGCCAGGAGTTCGAGACCAGCCTGGGCAACACAGTCAGATCCTATCTCTACAAAAAACAGAAAACATTAACCAGGCATGGTGGTATGTGCCTGAAGTTCTAGCTACTCAGGAGGCTGAGAAGGGAGGACAGTTTGGGCCCAGGAGTCTGAGGCTGCAGTGCGCTGTGATCGTGCCACTGCATGGCGCCTGCAACACTGCAAGATGCTATCCCTTTAAAAAAAAAAAAAAAAACAATTTTTAAAAGCCCTTCTATCTTGCCTGTTCATAAGATGATAGGAACAAGCTATTTTCACTACTTCCCGGGAAACTGGTTTCAGCCGGCTCAACAAAATACCCCCCAGGCATGACCTTCCTGACAGGACCCGAGCATGCAGCAAGACACCTCGCCTCTCCCTGAGCAGAAACGCGCCTGTCGGCTGTGCGGGTGGCCTCCCCTGTCCCCTCGTCCTCACGCACCGCTTGTCTCTCCGGACAGGGTGTGTGCGTTTACTTTACCGGTCCTCAACAGCCGTAGCACCAAGCAGAATAAGATCTTTCTCGATCTGCTCGTACGCTTCTGCTAACTTCTTCTCTCGATCTTGAAGGGCCACCTTGGCAGCCTGCAGCAGTTGACAGACGCCTTCATATTCTTCTGGGATCAGCCTTTTATAGGCCACGCACAAAGTCCGGAGTCCCTCCTGCAGAAGACGACGCAGTGTTTACACGAATTCAAGGTGTCGCTCGGTGAAATATGATGCTCCACGGCCTTCTCTCTAATTAGAATGACCTACCCAAGAACTACAACCCTTTCAAAACGTATGGTACTAAGGAAAGGAAAAAGAAAGAAAGGAAGGAAGAAAGAAAGAAGGAAGGAAGGAGGGAGGGAGGAGGGAAGGAAGGAAAAAGGAAGGAGCCAGCCCAACCAACTCTCGAAAGGACTAAGTTACGAACAAGTGAATTATTTAATTCCACGTGAAACAGAAAGAAGCATTATGGATTGCAGCATTTTCAGACTAGAAAGCCTAGAAACAATAGAAACCAGGACCATCTACCAAAAGATAAACTTCGTTCCTTTATTTTGACAAATGCAGAGTTAAATTTAACCTTCTTTTAAGGATAATCATTTATAATTTCATGGGTAATATCAAGTGACATTTCTAAAGAAACATGTTTTATGTGGGATGTATGTAAGGTAGGTTGTTCTTTCACAATGAAGGAAAACTGCCAGGTTATTTATCAAAATCACTGGTGGCCAATTAAGAATCACAAGTTCCTTACTGTGATCCTGATTCTGGAGGTCACCATACAGAAAGAATGCAGCCGCCACCAGCAGGACACAGGAAGCAGGGCAGAGGCTGCAGCGGCCACTCAGGGCAGCTTACAGATGAACCTCTTCACCCCATCAGTCAAGGCTGCTGAGCCCGACTGTCACAAAGGTTCAGATGATAATCTGAGGTGTTCCCTTCCATTTTCCCTGCTCCTTCAGCCCCAGCCCTACTGATAATAGTAAAGGAACCATAATTCTCCTAAATTATCATTTCACAATCTGGGAGAATACTGGTTTTTAAGAGTTAAAAAAAGTGCTTTTGATGATATGAGATGAAGTGTCTCCTAGCTCTCAGGGAAGGCTCACATTTATCACCAGTTCTCAGACCTCTTAATTCATGTGAAGGACAGAATCGCCACTGAGTCAGTGACTCTCCTGGTCCTTAAGCTTGCAAAAGCCAGAAGGGAAAAGGGGTATTGAAGAAGTGAGAACACAAGACAGGGTCTCTGTGCCTGAGTCCTGTTCTCCAGGGACCTTTCGGAAATCCTTCCTGCCCATCCTGCGGATATCGGTTCCTGGTCAAGAAGAACAAGTGAGAAGCCAACGGACCCGTCCCAGAGGAAAGCAGCACTGAACGGACCCTGCTCAGCCACCCCAGCCTCGCCTCCGGCGGAGCACACGACCTTGCAGCTTTCTGCTGGTGGGTTTGCCTCTATTGTTCGGCGCCGAGTTCTCTGGCTGCAGGTGCAGTGTCTGACTTTATCACTGAATCCCTTCCTAGCGCACAGCCAAAACACAGTAACTTTTTGCTGAGTAAATAAGTGGTGAAATTAGGCCTTTTTTGCACCTGTTGATCAAGTTAGATTAGAGACACAAATGTGAATTGCAAAATGAATTCTCTGACTTTTCCTAAGAGGCAATAAAATATACAAGGTATGTTTCATTGTGTTTTCTGGCTTCAGTCTGAAGCCAGGAAAATTGCATGACAAGAACATGGCTTTAAAGGATAATAACCCAGAGTGGCCCTAGAACTTAGGTTGCTGTGAATGATAAGCAGAAGCTTTTGGAAATAAATATGTTCCTGTTTTAAAAGTAGATCAAGGACTTTCTCCTGTGGTAACACGGAGTAGAAATACTTTTCTTGCCTGTAATCCCAGCACTTTGGGAGACTGAGGCGGGTGGATCACGAGGTCAGGAGATCGAGACCATCCTGGCTAACACGGTGAAATCCCATCTCTACTAAAAGTACAAAAATCATCTGGGTATTGTGGTGCACACCTATAGTTGCAGCTACCTGAGAGGCTGAGGCAGGAGAATTGTTTGAACCCAGGAGGTGGAGGCTGCAGTGAGCCAAGATCACGCCACTGCACTCCAGCCTGGGCAACAGAGAAAGACTCAGTCTCAAAAAAAAAAAAAAAAAAAGAAAAAAAACATACACTTTTCTCTATTCCTCTTGCTAAGTACTACAAAAACCCTGGACACAGCACATAAAGCCAGACAAATACACTACGAGAAAACCGCAGAACAGTATCCCTTAGAAAAGTGGATGCAAATATCCTCAACAAAATGCTAGCAAACTGAATCCAGTGGCACACAGAAAGGGTCACACACCACGACCAGGTGGGGTTTATTCCCGGAATGCAAAAGTGAGCAATACATGACATTAACAGAACGAAGGGGGAAATCCCACGTGATCATCACAGCTGATGCAGAAAAGGCATTTGAAAAAAATCCAGCACCTTTTGGCAATAAAACCACTTAACAAACAGGGGAGAGAAGAAACCTCAACATGATGAAAACCATAACCTAGCCAGGCACGATGGCTCACGCCTGTAATCCCAGAGGTTTGGGAGGACCAGAACTTTGGAAGGCAGGTGGATTACCTGAGGTCAGGAATTTAAGACCAGCCTGGCCAACATGGTGAAACCCCATCTCTACTAAAAATACAAATATCAGCCAGGCGTGGTGGCATGCGACTGTAGTCCCAGCTACTCAGGAGGCTGAAGCAAGGGAATTGCTTGAACCCAGGAGGCAGAGGTTGCAGTGAGCCGAGATCATGCCATTGCATTCCAGCCTGGGTGACAAGAGGGAAACTCTGTATAAAAGAAAAAAGAAAAGAAAAAACCTACAGCTAACATCACCCTCAATGGTGGAAGACTGAAAACTTTTCCCTAGGATCAGGGCCAAGAAAGGGATGCCTGCTTTTGCCACTTGTATTCAACACAGTATTAGAAGTTCTAGTCAGAGGATTGGGCTGTAAAGAGAAAAAGTTTCTACATTACAAAGGCTGCCTTTCTAAGTCTTCTCTATTTGCAGACGGCATGATCCTACATCTAGAAGACCATGAAGAATGTGCCCCCACTGCCAAACTATCAGAGCTAACTGAATTCAGCAAAGACACAGGGTACAAAGTCAACACACAAAAACTAGTGGCATTTCTATATACTACCAATGAACAACATGAAATTTTAAAAATTCCACTTATAATGGCATCAACAAGAGTAAAATACTTAGGAATAAATTTAGCCAAGGAGGTGAAATACTCAAGTCTGAAAAATACCAAGTTTGCTGAAAGAAATAATTTAAAAAAAAGACCTAAATAAATGGGAAGATATCCTATGTTCATGGATTGGAAGACTTAATGTTGTTAAGATGACACTACCCAAAGTGATCTGCTGATTAAATGAAATCCCTACCAACATCTCAATGGCTCCTCCCTCCTGCCCTCCCTCCCTTTCTTTTTTCGAGACAGGGTCTCAGTCAGGTGCCCGTGGTAGAGTGCAGTGGTGCCATCACGGCTCACTGCTGCTTTCAACTTCTGTGCTCAAGCCATCCTTCCATTACCCTCCCCTTTCATTTTGTATTTTTTGTAGAGAGAGGGTCTTGCTATGTTTCCCAGGCTGGTCTCAAACTTCTGGCCTCAAGTGATCCTTCTGCCTCAGTCCCCCAAAGTGCTGGAATTACAAGTATGAGCCATGGTACGTGTCCCGCAATGGCATTTTCTGCAGGAATGAAAAAGCCCATCCTAAAATTCCTACTAAATCTCACCACTGGGCAGTGCTGTTCAAGAAGTCGTGGAAGGAAGCTTGTCGTGCAGGCTTAAGACCCAGAAGGGGAACAGGTGATGTCACAACAGAAAATGAAAGCATGATTTGTTTTGAAGCAAATTACTAAAAAAGGTCAAGACAAAGACCTTTTGCTCCAATACAATAACCTCAAATGTGCTTATAATTCTGACTCCCCAAACTACCAACTAACCAAACTACCCCCACCCCAAAATAAAACCCTGTGCAAGGCTGTGGAGGAGAGGCCTGTGCCTGGCTGGGTACAGGAGGCCCCTGGAGCAGAGGCTGGCAGAGGTGCCCATTCTGTCTGTCTCTGATCCAGCAGATTTCTGAACATTCCCCAGGGGATACAATAGGACATTACTGGCAGAGGATTTGTGGAATGTGGAATTCCTTCCTGACTACTGGGGAGGTGAACGCTGCCAGGCCCTCCCCAGCCTGGCTCTCACCACTGCTGTGCCAGCCTGCTCACAGCACTGCTGCCACACCCTCCCCCCACCTGCTCTCACCCTGGCTGCCAGGTCCTCCCCCCTCCACCCGCTCTCACCCCCGCTGCCACACCCTCCCCCCCACCTGCTCTTACCCCCGCTGCCAGGTCCTCCCCCCCACCCGTTCTCACCCCCGCTGCCAGGTCCTCCCCCCTCCACCTGCTCTCACCCCCGCTGCCAGGTCCTTCCCCCCACCCGCTCTCACCCCCGCTGCCACACCC